TACTTTTCCCGCCGCAAAGTGACTCGTCTTCCATCCGTCACGCTCATGGACAGCCCAATACCATGGGAAGACAAAGTTAAATACTTAGGTGTCATCCTGGACTCTAAACTCAACTTCTCCGCACACGTAACCCGGGTTAGAAACCGCGCGGCTTTTATACTAGGTCGTCTTTCCGCATTACTCAATAAAAAGAGCAAAATGTCCCTTCGGAACAAGGTGACACTCTATAAATCAGTAGTACGTCCCGTCATGACGTATGCTAGTCCGGTATTCGCGCACATAGCTCCGAAACAAATACATCGACTTCAGGTGATTCAGAACAGATTTTTACGTAGAGCCACGGGAGCCCCGTGGTACATGCGCAACAGTGATCTGCACATAGACCTGGACTTGTCCACCATAGCTCAGCACCTGAAGTTGGCGTCGCGTCGTTATTTTGACTCCGCCGTCGGGCATCCTAATCCGCTAGTTGTAGGTGCCGTCACCTACAATCCAATCGCGCTCGGTAAATTTCGCCATGATTATCGTAGACCTAGGCACGTCCTCGACTTTCAAGATGACGCAACTACCATCGCTCAGGCTAGGGTTAAACATCTTCGCAGTCACACCACACACCCCAGTCGCTGCCGGCTACGGCAATCATTCTCGCGATATGGCCTCATAGCAGGCAGATTTTCACCTGTCAACGATAGAAGCGTAGCTGGAGTTTCTTCCGCCACTTCTTCTCCCAGCGCTAACGCTTTCCGAAGTGGTAGTAATATTAGATGCATCAGAGCTAATAATAATCAGACAACAGCAACCGAACAAGCCGAGGTTCGGCCCCTTCGGGCACCCTTGAATCGGAATGCTAAACGCGTATCGAGTGACAGCCCAAGCCGAGGTCCCCTCTCGGGGGCCCTTGAGCCCCGTCACTCCATGGAGCGTCCACCGAAGCGACCTAAGAGCTCGGCGGCCTCCCAATCCGGTAATAATAACGAAGTAACGGCCCGAGCCGAGGTTCCTGAGGGAGCCCTCGAGCTTAGTTACTCTTAAACGAGGTTTAGGCTAAGTGCCATCTGCGCTCGGCCACCTCAAGCCCGGTGAAGCTGTAAATGCCTCCTCAAGGCAAACAGTGGCAATCAGTCACAAAAAAAAAAAAAATTACACTATTTATAACTCAAGAACTACTTTACCGATATGGCTGAAAATTGGTGAGGAGGTAGCTTAGAGCCAGGAGACGGACTTAGGATACTATTTATTCTTTTTTTTTTTAGAATTTATGCCTTGAATAGCTGCTTTTTATTCAACTTACTAATATTAAGTTTCTTATAAATCCACGCGGACGGAGTCGCGGGCGATAGCCAGTGAACACTAAATACAAGAGATCGAGGTCGAGCGCTTGTTTTTTATTAAAAAAAATATTAATAAAGTCCATGCTAATATTACGAATTGCAATCGTAACTTTATGTGTTGCGCTCGCCATTTTTCTTCGTCATACTTTGACATATTGCCCGAAGCTCGGACAATGATGGATGTGCATGTCATATACCATATTCCTTTACAATACTGCATTTAGATTAAAATTATTTTAATATTTATGATTCAACTAGCTATCGTTGCGACTTCGTCCGTGCGGAATTAAAAAAACGAAATTAACCTGTGTGTTCTTCCATGTTGTAAATCTGAGCCAAATTTAAGTGAGATCCATTCAGCCGTTCTAACAAACATACATCAAAACATTCGCATTTATAATATTAGTTATAAGTAAGATTTGCATTTTAAATTCTGTTTTTTTTACCTTTATGCTTTGATAAAGGTACATTTAGGTATTTAAATCAAGTCCAAAAACAACCTTTTTTGTTAGGCTTTAAATATTCTTTTTTATATCTGTACCTTTTTTTTCATAAAAGACGTTGCACTTATAAGAGGATTTTGCATCGCAAGAATTAATTGCTTTTGCAATAAAATCTTTATTGCTCGTACTGCTACGTGATATGAAACCATTTTCACTTTAAATCATCGCTGGCTTCGATTTTATTTATCCTTTTCTCTTAATAAATAGAAAGTATTCATATTGCAGTACGGACGTGTTTGTTCTAGACAATTGAAATGGATTCTCGTTAACGCCAATATAATGCATTTGAACTATAGGCGTATATTTATTGCTCGACTTTCCTGACAATGTCTATATGTAGCTGTGTTTCCACTATCAGAAAACTTGTGTAAAACATATTGCGGCCTGTAGTTTTATTTCAATAAAAAGGGAATGAATTGTTAAAACAATTCATTTGACAAATCAATAAAAACTAGTTGTCTCGCTACAACACCGTTCGCGTGGAATGAAAAAAAAACTTAATTAGTTTCCGGTAATTATTCGAATTTTTCTCACCTTTTAAACCTTCCCTAGACCTCTACGAGCATTTGAAGACCAAGATAAGATAAATCTGTTCAGCCGTTCTCGAGTTTTAGCGACACTAACGAACAGCAATTGATTTCTTATCTATTAAGAATTTTATCGATTTTCAATTGTTTCTATTCGATTCTATCTCGATTGTTTCTTCTCTCATAGAACTTGCAATTAAAAATTTCGTGATTATTATTTTTAAATTACAATATAAATAAAATTGTTTCATCCTTTTCCTACTCTATGCTTTAAATCATAAATAAATCAAACTAAACCAAAAAGTAATAAAGCACCTTAGTTATAGTAGTTAATCGTTTGATTAATATTATTACAAAACCTGTTCTCAATAGTTCACAATTGTTCGTTAAGCGCGTACTCTCCGTCACTATGAAAACCGTCTATTAAATACAATATTAATCCTGATACTTAATTAATTCGTTACTTTATAGGCGTCAGTTGACAAACTATCTTAAATAGGCGTACTATATACATATTTTCTGACAGAACTAACGCGACAGTAGCGCCTCTCACACCTGCCCAGTTATTATTTGATTATGTTTTTTCACAGAGTGTCATAGATTAAGGCAGATGGTTATTTGTTTGTTGAATTAATTAACTAAGTTATTTATTAGTCTTGGAACGTCGGTAGCTCAGGCATTTGACTTGTAATCTGCAGGTCCTGGGTTCGAACCTTTTTTTTTATACATCATAAGGTGGCAAACGAGCGTGCGGCCACCTGAAATCGCTGAAGTAGCGAAGTGACCGTTGCCCATAGACATACTTTGCCTACCTTTAATCGATGGAGGAGAGGATGCACAGAAAGAAAATATTTTTCCTTCCCATGCATCCTCTCATCCGGAAAGTCCACTTCCACTTCTTATCCTTTCCTTATAAGAAAAAGGGTGGGATGGGAAAAAGGACTAAATTAGGCCTCCGGGACGCAATCCTGTCATGTACCAATGTGTTTTTCGATTTCCGATTTACATATTTACATTTATCCGATATTACGGTGAAAGACAACATCGTGATGCAACCTGCACATATCTGAGAAGAAATTCAAAGATATGTGTGAAGTCAACCAACCCGCACTTGGCCAGCGTGGTTGACTATGGCCTAGTCACCCCTAACTTAGGGTAGGCTCCGAGCCCCTCGGTGGGGACGTATTGTGAGCTGATGATGAATTATTACTCTTACTTAAGTTATAACGTACCCGAAGCAATATTACTGTTTAACGTAACTTGAGTATATTTTACGCATTGCGGGTAAAAACTATTTCTATTACTTGAGCGTTTATATCTTTATGATAATTTAACTTGTAATTTATCACTATTGTATTAAGTATTGCTGAGAACTGTTCTAATTAAGGGAATGGTTTCATTCATTGTTACTTTGTAAATACTTTTGCTTCAGGATTATTTTGTAATATTTATAAAAGCAGCATTTCTTTGATACGAGGTATTACGTATAATTTTTTTTTTAAATATTAGCAGATTTTTATTAATTTACTAATATTTCTTGTACTTCCTCGTTGGATTTACAACAATATGTATTCTTTTATGGTTTACGACAATAGTAAACCAAGTCTGGATTCGAACCCTAGACCTCGTGATCGGAAATCCGTACCCTTAACCATTTGGCTATTGGCGCTTTATAATTAACATTTTCAACTATTTTATCTACTTAATAAATTTTGTTGCATTATTTTTTTAGAGTATTAACGTAAATGGCTACAAAATTAAATGATGACCAAATAAATTATGTTTTTATGTTGTTTGTGTGTTATGTTTAACAGTGGTAGAGCCCGCTTTAACATCTTCGCCCGAATTGGCCCGGCTCGCCCGGTAAAATACCACGACCACACAGAAGACAGGCGTGAAGTGGAAGCAATTCCGCGTTTCGTCTGATGAGTGTGCGTCCCGGAGGCCTAATTTAGTCCTCTTTCCCTTCCCATCCTTTTCTTTATAAGGAAAGGATGCGAAGTGGAAGTGGACCTTACGGATGAGAGGATGCATGGAAAGGGAAGATATTTTCTTTCTGTGCATCCTCTCCTCCGTCGATTAAAGGTAGGCAGCGCATATGCAATTGCGTATGTCTATGGGCAGCAGTCACTTCGCTATTTCAGCTATTTGAGGTGGCTGCTCGCTCGTTTGCCACCTTTTCATATAAAAAAAAAATTGTGACAAAGAGGATATGCGTAAATGGGACGTCAGATATGTCGCCTGATACATATGTAGGGAGGGGCAATGCCGACCTATAGGTAGATAGGTATGAGTAGTAGCTCAAGAATAGGTTGATTATAAGAAATAATGATTCTAAGAAGCAAGGAACAATTGAGTCTTGCTATCTTTAATCTTTGTTAATTATCGTGTTTGAGCACGTTCGTTTTTTGTTTTTATAATTACGTCACAATTATGTGCAAATCTCAACGGGGATTTCCCTATAAGTTTATATTAAGTAAAAAAATAAATTTCGGTATTAACCACTGGACGGATTTGGATGAAATTGTAATTTGTTCTAAGAACACCAGAGAGCAAAGTACTTTAAGAGATACTAAAAAAAAAAACTGAAACATTTGAGGTTAATAAAACACAGTATGTGCATATATTTATATTTTTACAGTACCAAAGTGAACCAACGGTTATATGATGATATATAGACCAAACGAGTTCTTGGCTTGACGCTTGACTTGCAATCTGCAGGTCCTGGGTTCGAATCCCGCCAGGTACTAATGTGTTTTTCGATTTCCGATTTACATACGTACATTTATTCGACGTTCTTACGGTGAAGGAAAACATCGTGATGCTGCACATATTTGAGAAGAAATTCAAAGATATGTGTGAAATCAACCCGCACTTGGTCAGCGTGGTTGACTATGGCCTAGTCACCCCTAACTAGGATAAGCTTCGAGCCCCTCAGTGGGGACGGATAGTAAGTTGATGATGATGATGATGAGTTCTTGGTACGTGTTGCAAAATCTGGATCGGTGCAATCCATTATTTTCTTTCATTACATCGCCCATTATAACTTAAAGTGGCACCATCGCAAACCAAGCTGAAATTTAGAAATAATTATTTATGTTTAGAGTTCCAGAAATAAAAGCAGAACCCTTGTAGGATTGTCCGTCCGTCTGTCTGTCAATACCCTTTTTCTAACAAACGCGCGAAAGTATTAAGATGGAATTTATTTTATATTGCGCCAGTCAGCGCTTGACCACTATCTCACCTTTCCTTATAAGAAAAAGGGTGGGAAGGGAAAGATAACTAAATTAGGCATCTGGGACTCACACTCATCAGACGAAACGCGGAATTGCTTCCAATTGACGCGTGTCTTCTGTGTGGTCATGGTATTTCACCGGGCGAGCCGGGCCAATTCGTGCGAAGATGTTAAAGCGGGCGCTACACTCTGAAACTCTATTAAAGAGATAAATACTCCAAGTGTAGATTTTACGTACACTTACTTCTTTAGTGCTACTAAAACTAATAGAATAATTGTATTAATTACCTGCAATTGTTACTATAAGTCCGTCCGTTAGTGGCGCAAACTGGTGAAAATAATGTTGAGCAAACACAAGATGAATCATCAGCGTCAGTCAAGTACATCGCAAAGAAGATGATCGACAACACTAAGAAACATAAGGTTTTTATTAATGTATTTGAATGTGGCTACAAAGGAAGTATGGTTTGTGTGAAAGAGGATATGCGTAAGGGGGTGGATTTAGATATGACGGCTAAAAGAGATGTATGAAGGAGTACATACTTTGCCAACCCTCCGTAGATAAGGGCAGGTTGCAGATGGTCTTTATTATGTCTTGGATTTGTTTAAAAAAATCTGATACTAATCATGAGAAACGCACGTAAGAAGACAAGCAATTTTAGTTTAACCCTTAATTCGACGAAGTTTTTTCGTATATTTACGTAATTTTCTCTAAACTAGTTCAGTATATTTTTTTAATGAGTTGTTCGTCACACTGAACACCATTGAATTAAGGGTTAAAGACAAAGTTAAAGGTAATTAAAAAATAAGGTATTATTAAGTCTTATTAAAGTCTATAGGTATTTTAATAAATAAAATGAACTCAGAAACTACCTATTGGTTTGACTCAAATCTTTTTATTAAACATATCGTCATTATCACGATTGACAAAACAGTGATAACAATATTTTAAACGGGGTTTTTAGTCTTAGAAACTTTAAATCAATAAAATTACTATCAACGATCGAACATTTTTATCATTTAGAAAAGAGGTTTTATTCAACAAAAAAGAAGTTAGTAATTAGTAATTATTCTAACATCAATTAATGTTCCATAACACGAAAATAATATATTCCAGAAATTATTCCAGAGTTAAAAGATTAATATTTTTATGGCACAAAAGAATCTAAAATCCACATTTATGATGAATAAAAGAGATATCTATATATATAAAAGAAAGTTGTGTTAGTTACACTATTTATAACTCAAGAACGGCTTTACCGATATGCCTGAAAATTGGTGAGAAGGTAGCTTAGAGCCAGGAGACGGACATAGGATACTATTTACTCAATTTTTTATTTAGTCCTTGAAGAGCTGCTTTTTATTTAACTTACTAATATGATAAATACGAATGTTTATGTGGATGTGATGTAGCTGGATGGACTGGTGTTTGAAGATATCTCTAGAACGGCTGAACGGATTTCGATAAATTTGGCATACGTATAGAACATAGTCTGAATGAACACATAAGCTACACTAAATAAGTCGTTTTATCCACGCGGACGCAGTCGCGGGCGACAGCTAGTAGAATATAAAATACATTTATCAATTCTGAACCCTCGTTAGGAGAAATATCTACGCTTATATCCACAAATAAAATCATATACTCACAAAGAATAAATCGCATGTTGAAATGTTTCCGTGCGTCTTACACAGGTTGTGTGGGAGGAAAAAATTTGTTCGTACTTTTATACTCGTGAAAGTATGATTAATTTTATAACTATATGTCTGCGATGACTATATCTAGCTGTCGCCCGCGATTCCGTCCGCGCGAAATTTGGTACCTTGGTAGTTTACGTATTCTTCTAGGCTATGCTTTTAATTTTAGCGAATAAGCAACCGTTCTGTAGATACCTTCTAACATCCGTACATCTAAACATTCGGATTTATAATATTAGTAAAATGAAATATTATAATCTGTTGCGAATTAATACATAATATTATAAACGCTTTGTAAAAAAATTACATTTTCATATCTTACTATAATAATATTATAATTGCGAATGTTTGGATTGATGGATATTAGTTTGAATGTAACTTCGGAACGGATCAACGCTGAAATTTGGCATAAATGTAGAACAAAGTCTTGAAAAATACATAGGCTACTAAGTTTAATTTAATTCCACGCCGACAGAGTCGCGGGCGGCACCTAGTTTTATTAAAAACTCTGTTGTGAACAAATGTCAACAAGATTCCGATAAAGAAAAAAATCAAGGCAACTAGAAACAATAAGGAAAAATGTATTATGCCTAGTATCTAGGGATTTCCTTCTTTATTTAGTTCTATTTATAAACATAACATTTAAATGCAGCGCGGCAATATGAGATAAAGAAACACCAATAGCCTAGTGGTTAAAGGTATTTCCTTCACGCGGTCGTGAGTTCGAATCCCACCATTCGAATATTGTCGTAAACCATAACCTTGCAAAAACCCTTATGCTTGTATTCATGTGTTGTACTCATCCATGTATTAATCATTAACTTAAGAATTAAAAAAATATAATTCATCCTACGTGACCTTCCATGATATGTTCTATATGTATGCCAAATTTCATTGAGATTCGTTCAGCCGTTGTGAAGATACCTTACATCTAAACATTCTTATTTATAATTATACATATACATTTATTTATCACATTTCTAATATAATACATTTCATATAAAATATATATATATATACAAAACATATTATATTAAAAAGAGAACACCACCGGCTGCGGAATCCCATGACTCAAACAACCAGTGGTCAGGGCTGCAGAGACAGGAACCTTCTCACGATGCGCGCGGTTTCTAGGATAACTGCCTTTTGTATCGGGCCCTTAATCCAACTGTTTAGCGAGAGCTTCTTGAGATGTTGGTCGAAGCTCTTCGCTATCAGTCCATTTACCGATACGACTATCGGAATAATGGTAGTCGATTTCATACGCCACATGGCGGTAACCTCGTGAGCCAAATCTAGGTATTTTAACACTTTTTCCTTTTCAGCTTTCACGAGATTCTCGTCATGTGGAATAGTGACATCGACTAACATTACACAACTCTCAGACCGGTCTATTATTACTATATCGGGCCTATTGGCAGCAATAGTCCTATCCGTAATAATAGATCGATCCCAGTAGAGCGTGATATCGCTATTTTCCAGAACGGGTGAAGGTTGGTACTGGTAATACGGTACCTCAGCATCCACAAAGGCATATTTAAGGGCAAGTTGCTGGTGGATGATCTTGGCCACTTGGTTGTGCCTATGCAAGTATGCACCGTCCGCAAGCCGAGAACAGCCGGAAACGATATGCCTAATGGACTCACCGGGACGACGACATGCCCGACAAATGTCAATCGTACCATCCTTTAGGATATGTTTTCGGTAGTTGTTCGTTACGATGACTTCGTCCATAATTGCAAAGACAAAACCTTCAAATTCCCCAAAGAGGTTGCTGAAGCGCAGCCAAGCCACGGAAGATAATTGGTCCACGTCAGGCCCAGTTAAGGCTCGATGGAACCTGCCGTGTAGCTCCTTGCTCTTCCATACGCTAATGCGGTCTGAGACACTTAGTACCGGTAGCCTTCGCCAATATTAGTAAGATGTTAAATTACTTTTATAAGAAATAAATTTAAATCCGATAACAACAAAGTAACAGCCCGAGCCGAGACTCCTGAGGGAGCACTGGAGTCTTGTTACTCTTAATCTTTAAACGTGGTTCAGCCTAAACGCGATCTGCGTTCGACCACCTGAAGCGCGGTGAAGCTGTAAACGCCTCTTCAAGGCAATGACTACTCAGTCACAAAAAAACAATAATAATCCATTTTCAATTTATTATCTCCCCTGTAGGCTAGCAACGCATATGCAATTCAATTTATTACACAAAAAGCCAGAAACCTTTGTGATAAAGCATTCTAAATGTTAATCTTAATGCACTATTTTAATGAATGCTGTTTTAAGCTATAGACCGGTTTCTCGGGTAATGAGGCGTGGAAAGAACATGTTCGCATTCGATATATTTATCAACTGTCTGTGTTATTACTTATTAATATTCAAGACACTTATTATTTTTTTTTAAATGATAAAATATTGATTATCTTTTGTTTTATTTTTAGCTAAGAACATGTAGAACTTTACGCGTAATTCGGTTGTGGAAAAATTTCTAGTTAAAGGTCTATAAATATAATATTAAGAGAGTAGGTAGCTCAAGGTTTAAAGCACTTGACTGTAAACTGCAGATCCTGGGTTCGAATCCCGCCATGTAACAATGTATTTTTCGATTTTCGATTTAGATGTGTACATTTATCCGACGTTCTTACGGTGAAGGAAATCATCGTGATTCAACCAGCACATATCTGTGAAGAAATTCGAAGATATGTATGAAGTCAATCCGCAGTGGACCAGCATCGTTGACTATGTCCTAATCGCCCCTGGCTTAATTTAAGCTATGAGCCCTTCGGTGGGGATATTTAGTGAGCTGATGATGAAACGACTTAGGTTTTTTCAAGAAGTGAGTAGTCTCCTTCTCAAATGCCGATAGTGCATTTGCAGTTGATGAATCGAATGAGCAGCTGGGACACAAAAACATCTGTGTTGCAGCCGCTTATTTACCCCTTTCTCTTATAACTATTTAACTCGTTACTTTTAAATAATTATTTTCCTGTCTTTATTCCACTCTGAAAACCAAGTTTTCGTCCGGGTAACTATTAAATACAATTCAATTTAATTTCATAATTTGTATAGTATTGAATTGTAAGCCTAACTTTATGTTACATAAGTATTCCGTTTCAGACTAAGTTAACCTTATCTTTAAATTTACACGAACCAGAGAGGTCAATTCGCTACAAATCCTGACAAAATGGCCTTACTTACGGTCTCATGTACTCGAAACTGAATTTACAAGGGTACGTAAGATACGAACCCCTTTTCAAAACGTCTAGACTACGTTTCGGTTTAATATATTTAACAGTAACGTCTGATCAGAAGACCCTTGGTAACAAATTTTAGGTTGAAATTCAATAAGAATGTTTTTAGATTTTAAAATTTTATTTGTATGTTAAAAAATATAATTATTAGCCTTTGTGTTATTCCAAACTATATCCTATTTGTTTACCAAATTTCATCGAGATCCGTTCAGTCGTTCTGGAGATATCTTTAAACAAATATCCATCGATCCATGTACACATTCGCATTTATAATATAAGTAAGATGTAGGGGAGGTGAAGCGGGGATTTTGGGATTTACTTGAGCATAGCAGTTAAACATAAGAGAATGCTGCACAAAATCGATTACTGCCACAGATATAACTCTACATATTGTTAGGAAGAAAATCCGACATTGTACCGGTTTACTGGCACAACACTAGCCTTACTAAAATGTCGACGTTTGTGTCCCCTCACTATTCATTCTGACACTACTGTTTGTAACGAAAGCACGTCATCTGCGCCAAATGATTCTAACTAATACTGTCTTAAAATATAAAGCTGTGTTTTACTGCAGCAGGTCAGAATACTAAATAAATAAAATTTGTTGTTATGATTACAAAAGCGCGTCAATTTGACATAGTTTAAGACGGTCAATGAATTACGTTTTTATGGTAAAGGAATACGTTATGAAACTTACCAAAATCTATTAAGTCAATTCGCACTGGAACATCGTAATAAAACTAAGGATTTTCATCAGCTCACTGTACGTCCCCTCGGTGGGGTTCAGAACCTACTCTAAGTTTGAGGTGACTAGGCCATAGTCAACCAGGCTAACCAAGAGCGGGTTGGTTGACTTCACACATATCTTTGAATTTCTTCTCAAATATGTGCAGCATCACGATGTTTTCCTTCATTGTAAGAACGTCGGATAAATATACATATGTAAATCTTAAATCGAAAAACACATTGGTACATGGCGGGATTCGAACCCAGGACCTGCAGATTGCAAGTCAAGGGCTTAACCCCAGAGCCACCGACGCTCTGTAGCTCTAACTCTACCGCTAATAAATGGAAGAATGGAGGACTTTTGGATTTTGTTTTTATTATTTTTTGGCGACATTAATAAAAAAAGTGTTCACAAGTTTTCTATCCAAGTATCGGATTCCTAACTTTTTATTCTTTTGTAATCGTTTCTTTTAGAATTTTTTGTTAATGAGAAAACTTCCATAATTTGGCAATACACAAAAAAGTTTCGCTTGTTCGTTACTTGTCATATTACATTATTGAAAATTTATTTATTTGTTTATTTATTACAAGTAACACAAGTTTGTCTTGAACTTTAAGTTCACTTTTTAGTTTATATAAACGAACAACATGGTAATTATTACTAAAAAAGCGTCGGTGGCTTAGGGGTTAAGCACTTGACTTGTCTGCAGGTTATGGGTTCGAATCCCGCCATGTATCAATTTGATTTTCGATTTACATATGTAAATGTGAAAGAAAACATCGTGAAAATAGATCTGGCTAGGAATCATTTTCTCAAAATTTCATTTTGTTCGTGTTTTATCGATAATCAACTTAAACATAAACTTAACTTTTTCTATCGGTAACATCGATAAATATTATTCATATTTCATAATTTTTTGTAATTCGTACTTAAATATAATTTCCAAAAAAGACAATTAAAAAAAATCCAGGTCATCCAGATACTAATTCATCAAATAATACTGTTAAATAATTAATTACATATAAGCTT